AGGAGGGGCGGTTGACACGAAGTGATTTGGAATTTCTCATGGAAGCAAGGGTTTGTATGGAACCAGGAATTAGGTAACGGATACAGGACTGTCTGTGTGAATGTGTGGAAAGAAACGTGACTGTGGGATGTAAGAAGAGCGATTGACATGGAAGAGAGCTAAGGATGGGCCTTAGAGCCTGGAAGCATTGTGATGCTCAGTCCAGACTCGCTCTCGTCCTGACTACGGGTACTAATGATTGTGGAAAATGTTGGTGCAAACGTATTGCATTAAGCACCCCGTATTGCCTTAGTTCAACCCATAAAACGTCATTCCCAAGCTCGAGGACACCACCATCAAGGACTATTTACACACGAGACTCACGATCTAAGAGGAGATGGACAGTGAATGGAGTTATGATATGTTCTACGAGCAGTGTAGAACATTATACGCCAGAGTCTGACCAAGTATCCCAAAATTCCGTGACTAATTCCCTGAATCCCGACTGATAACCCCTGAATCCTGATGGAAATCCCTGAATCCGGACACCAAAGTGTCAGGAATCAAGAACATCTGCGTTTATATGAAGACAATGTGTTACGGATGCAAAGATTCTACGATGAAACAAGACATGATCCAGAGATTCAAGTCTATTACGATGGTGCCAAGGTGTACCCCGGGCACGGTGGCCTTGATGTACTACTATGCTTCGAGAGTCTGGACACCACGGATCTCCAAGACCTCGACACATTCATGAGTGGAGACGTCGCTGACTGTTTGCCGTCATTGCGCCCGCGTGTTGCACCTGCCTCGCTTGCTGCGGAAGTGAGCTTCATCGCGGGTCATCGCGAATTGGCTGCGTTTTTGGGTCAATTCCCACTGGATCGCCTGGCGGAGAGGATGATCAACTCCGTCTCCTTCATCCGCCGGCTCCTGGCCAAGATCCGACATCTTCAGGCGGCTCCAGAAGCTGAGAGTAATGGCACGCTGTCGTCTGAGACCTTGGTGGCCCGCGATAACTTCGACGCCATGCGTCGTGAGCGGACGGCTATGTGTCGACACTGGGGTCAACGCGTGCAGACCCTCAAACAAGATCGTATCGACAGCGAGAGTTTCCTGCGTCAAGGTCATCGCGACGCTGAGTCCCGCCACCAAGCACGTGTTACAGAGCTGACAGACCAAGTCGCCCAACTCCAAGCCCAGCTTCGAGACTCTGAGGCCGCTCATCAGGCAGCTGAGAGGCGCGCTGATTTGGATGTGAACGCTCTCGTCGACTTCCTCATGGGGAACAAGCCGAAGATCAACGTGATGTTCAACTGGATGCGCCTCGCGGCGCTCCTTCATCACTTCGCTGAGGGCACTCCGATCCCAGAAGGTTGGCTCACCAACATTATTGTGGTTGCTCTGGACGACCCGTGCTGCGAGTGTCCTGAGTACGCGAAGCCTTCCCCAAGACCCGGCAATGATGACTCATCTTCAGGTTCTTCGGGTTCGAATCGTCCTAGTGTACTCGACCTGTCGCCTCCTGCGCGTAACAAGAGGGCGTCGATGTCTGGGTCGCGGACTGGCAATCGGAAGCCGAAGGCGTCTGCAGCGCGCGATGGGCCTGTACCCAAGCGTCCATCCCTGAGTCCGGCTCAAGTCGGGGCGTCAACTCGACGGCCAACTCCGTCCTCGGGGCTATTCGCCCAGAGATATGCTGGTGTACTCACCCCGGAACGTTCTCAACGCTCGGAATCTAGCGGAGGCAGGTCGCGCTCTCCCAGCTAGAATGGTCTGGATTGACGTCCGCGAGGATGTCCAATATCTTTCGTTGTCCGGAATGGATTTCAAGTGCGCCATGAAGTGGGTCTCTGAAAGTCAGGGCATTCACCACCTTGCGCCTTGGGAGGCTGTCTGTCGTATGTTGGCCCAAGTAATTCACGCAGGCCTGCTGGATGAGACTCCCTGGTGTCGTTTCCTCCCTGAGGGATTTTATACCAGCGCAGAGGGGACTTTGCGTTTACGTCAGACCAAGCGAGAACCCACTCCTCCTTGGCATCCTCTGGGTCAGTGTTTCATCAAGGTCCAGAAACGTAAGCAGTCGACACGAGAGACTGAGGCTCTACAAGCCAAGCTCCCTGAGTCTTCGGACGATGAAGTTCAGGATCCGTCTTACGAGTTGTCACATGCGGAGCTGGACAAGGCTGCACGAGCTGAGACCGCTGCTGACAACGATGAATCGAGTGAAGACTCCGACAAAGCTGGGAAGGAGTCTAAGCCCGCAGCTACACACCCGAGTCCTGCCAGTCCTCGAGAGTCCAAGACTGGGAAAGCGAGTGACAAGAGTAGTGGCTCTAAGAGTCATGGTGCATCCGGAAAATTCGAGTATCGCGTCATCACCAGCTCCAAGTCCCCGCCTATTCCGAAATCTGGCGGCACTTCCCGCGCGCGCAAGATGCCTGTTCTCTCCCTGGCCACATTCCTCCGTCGGGCTAGGGTGGAAATTCCACCCGAGGGCCTTCGACGCATTCGTTCCAAGTTGGCCAAGTTGAATTACGACGACCTTCAGGGCAAGCACCTGGACATGGTGGAGGCTGCATGTCGGGAGACTCACGTCTCTTATCGCATCTTCGGGATTCTGGTGAAATTCGATTCCTATCGACAGTCTCAGGGGTATCCTGACTTGAGCCGCACAAGCCTGACATCCACATTCTGAAGGCGCGCTGGGATCTGGAGGCATACCAAGCTCTGGTTCACGTTCCTGAACCTGTTAATGGTCGTGCTGCTTGAGATGAAGATGGCGAGCTCATCAGAGGACCCTGGACTGTCATGTTCCAGGCAATGTTCCACGATATCGTGTTCTACTTTCGCGAAGTGCGTGACTTGAACTCTGAGACGCTCGATGGAATCAAGGATTACGTGGATTTCATGCGTGTTAACGCCAAGACTTGGTGGGCAATTCTCCATTGGCTAACCATCTCCTTCTTGGCGCGAGACGCTGCTGACACAGATGCTTCCCGTGACTTGTATGACGAACGTCGCAGAGATGTCAAACGGATTCGGGCACTGTACGAGGCTCTACTCAAACGGTTGTTTGCGATCGCTGGTTTTCCGAAGACGCTGCTCTACGAGCCTGGTCTGTGGACGCTACCTGTGCGTGCGTGCCACTGAAGAATCCTGAACGTTCGCCCCTTATTCGCCGTGGAGTCGCTGACTACACTGCTCCACTTGATGACTTGGACGCAGAAGATCCTGTCCGTACTCAGTGGGCTGCGGCGCACAGCGACGATGACATTCTGGCCACAGTCCCTTCATTCATGCACCCGTTTCTTATGATGCCTGGACGCAGAGCTCGGAACGTGATTCCATTATCTGCGGCGTCTCAAGCGTGAACTCCTTTCGTCAGCTGTTGTTCTTCACGTACTCTGGGTGTCGGAGTCACTCTCCTTTCTCTCAGTCTTAGGTAGTAACTCGTTAATACTAATCGTTCTCCATTTTTCGTTCTCGTATCTTGACTTATTCACCGCTTTAACGATAATTCTTTGTCTCGACACTCACTAATACATTGATAGCTCTCTGAGATCCTCGCTGGATCCAGGGAACGACCACTCACAGTTCTCAAAATCAATATCCTCTGTTTCACACATACGGGTTCCTTGGGCTGGACATCGCCTAACCTAGTTCCCAGGGTGATCGTCCCAGCTTGCATAGCTTGGAAACGTGCTCTCGCCTTAGCACCCTGGTCGAACTCATATAGCAATGCCCCGCAATTAAGTTGGGCTAGAGATATCCACTCTGGATCCGTGAATCCTTTCCACTTGATCAGATATTCTCGAGAACGTTTGGAGGTCCTTGTACGTTTAAGCCACCTGAGAACTAGGATCTCTTCGACTTCATACTCATCCTGGGCAGTGTCTGGCTCCCAACTATCCTCGGGCAGCAAAGTCGCATCAAAATCATCATCTTCTGAGACTTGTATCTCTGAGGTCGGTCGCTTAGGGAACAGAGCTCTCGGTTTGAGGCGACTAATGTGGACCCACGGGTTCACACGGTAGCCGGTGTCTGGGATCTTGAGCTTGACTCTGAAGTCGTCATGAATTTCAGGAAGGGCCCATGCCACAGGTGAGCTAACTTGCGGCTCAATCCTGTGCGGACTTTGGGAATGTACAACCATACAGAATCACCTGCTTCGAAACCCGCCTTTACACGATCCGAGGGTTCTCCCCACTTACGAGTCTGTGCGGCAGATCTCACACGTTTTGCTTTCCTTTGCAAATCTTCAGCGCACGGAAGAACATAGCTATAATCCCATTGGATCTTCCGACGCCACTCCAAAGCCGTTCGTTCTTGGACTGTGGATGACCTTGGGCCCAGCATTGCGGATATGGTTCCCTGGGCGGCCCAGCCATGGACCAGGTAAAATGGGGTGTCCAGCCTTGCAGCGTCAAACGAGGTGTTCAGGGCGAACATGAGACGTTCTACATGCTTGTCCCAGTCACTCTGGTCAACTTCAGCGACATACGCTCTGACACTTCGCATTACTGTTTGGACTGAGCGTTCTTGCTGTCCGTTGGCCTGAGGCCGGTATCCTAACGTCGCACGTTTCTTACTTTTCAGAAGGTCTCTGAATCTAGCGAAGACCTTGCTCATGAAGCGAGGGTCCTGACCATGTCTGATCATTGAACTCGCCCCAAATCTTCTGAATACGCACTCTTCGTATGCGTCAGCAACATCTTAGGCTTCGGTATTCCGAATGGGTTTGCACATGACGTATCCTGAGAATTGATCTTGGAACAGCAACAAATATGTATTTCTACGAGCGGACTCAGGTAGGTCCAAGGGTTAACACGATAGCCTGTATCTTTCACCTTCAGTCTCACAAGGAAGTCATCCCGAATTTCATCGATCCAGAATGGCCCATACCACATGTGTGCTAGCTTCCGGCTCAATCCAGTCTGAACTTTCGGGATGTACAGCCAAACAGTGTCGCCCTTTTCAAAACCAGCTTTGACCCTCTCGGAGAGTTTGAGTTCCAACCACTATCGGGTTTGTTCGTCCGAACGCATCTTCTTAGCCTTTTTCTGGAGATCCTCAGCGCAAGCAAGTGCGTAGCTATATTCACGCTGCAGTTTCCGTCACCACTCATAGACACTCAGGAACGCTCAAAGGTTTTGGTCCCAACATTGCCGAAACCGTACTTCGGGCATCCCAACCATGAACCAAATAGAAAGAAGTGTTCAGTCTAGTCGCGTCGAACGAGACATTCATGGCGAACATCAGTCGCTCAGCGTGGTCATCCCAGTCGGGTTGATCCATCTCGGCGACGTATGCTCGAACACTCCGAATAACCGTTTGTACAGATCTCTCCTGCTGTCCATTTTCCCGTGGACGGTATCCGGGTGTAGCACGTTGTCGGCTACCTAAGAGTTCTCGGAACCTTGTGAACACTGCACTCATGAACCGTGGATCCTGATCGTGTCGTATCATGGAAGACGCCCCGAATCTCTGGAACACTTGCTCTTTATAAGCCTCAGCGACATCTTGAGCGGTAGTAGATGACATTGGTTTACACATCACATAATCT